AAAGAGCAGTAGTTCAACTCTCAGCTGACAACATGGAGTCAGTTAGTTCTGGGAAGTGGCTGCACACAGGTTGTCATCTCTGGACAGAAACTCCATGTTTGAAAGCAGTGACATGAATTACGGGGCAAACATCTCCACTCCAGCAATTACTGCTGATCAGCAAATAAGTGCCTGTCACTATTGATACGCAGTTTCTAAGTGCTTGGCCTGCCCAGTTTACTGCACAGAGTAGGAATGAGGTGGTGTGGAGTAGAGATTGGTGGTTGTTGGGTGCTTCAGTAAAGATATCTCGGAGATGGGGAAAGAGAGGTCTGATGCAGAATGTCAGGGATCTGTAATAACATGGAGGGTGGAAAGTATATGTTAAGATGGGGCAGAAAAGCATAAAGGCCTCATGCCTTATGGCTGTGCTTTTGGGCCAGCACAGTTGTGACAATCTTCATCTGACATTGACTGATTACTGTTTGTTGCTGTTTATACTGGGGCAAAGAGAGTTTGTGAATTCTTATCATATAGGTTTCAAACATCAGAAATTGTAACGCTAAAATCATGATTTTGACCTAGAAATTTATGCCGTTTAGTCTATTTTTCAGAAAGGTAGGACAGAAAGTCTGTCACTGTGTCCAAAAAGTAGAAACCCAGGGAAATAATACGCTTGTTTGATGTGCCTTACATTTTTTTTAGTGTTTTAATTTTATCCCAAGAATAAAGCTGAAATAGATACACAAAAAGCAGAGTGCGTCTTTGTGATCACCTAAGTCCAGTAGTTAAATATCACTGTGTTTACAAACCATGTGCTCAGCTGATGACTAAAGGCAGCACGAATCCTTAGGTGTCTGTGCTTCCTCTAGTAGACCGGTAAAAACTGCCTTTCTTGTTGCACTTCCGAGCTACTCAGCACAAATGCTTGTGCCTGTACTTTGACATTATTCTTTATTTAACTTGCCTCCCGGTCCCAATCATTTGAGTCTTTAGATGAAGACTGCATTAGAACAACGACAGCTGGAGGTTTTGGTTTGTGTTCTTTCGTTTCAGTATTGCAGAGGAATGCTCAGCAAAGTTGCAGCCGCTTTATTATCTCTAGCAGATAACTGGCTACTTGATTACCCTTCAGCGCAGGGCGTAGGCTTGGAGCTGAGCATTTCCTGCTTGCTAGAGCCAGTGACTTTTCACTGAGGGTACTGATGTCTGAATCTGGGGTGGTGTGGGTGCGTGCATGCGTGCGAATGTGCACGCATTTAATTCTTCGTGTTTGTTTTGGGTGGGAGCCTCTGTGCCTGGCTCAGGATTGGGAATTCTGTTGTCTGCTGTGTCTTAAGTGTCATGGTTCTGGTACAGACCTGGCTTTCAAGCAGATGTAGTCTATGCACGGTTTTGAGCCATGAAGTGTGTGAGTAATATAGGAGTTGTGTTAAATTGTATAAACCATTGAGAGTCAGTATCTTCTGTGTGTTTACAGTGAAAAATAAGATAAAATATCGAGCCAGTGCCTGCATTAAAATACAAAAGACTATTCGTATGTGGCTTTGCAAGAGAAAGCATAAACCACGGTAAGAGGATATTGCTTGGTTGAAGAAAATGGATTTTTAATATTTTTCTTGTGAATGTAAGGAGGAGGTTTATGATGCTTAACTAAATATATCTGAAGTCATAGAATGATGCTAAGTATGACTGAAAGAGACTTTAAGAAGTGCCATGTTCCTCTTCTCTTTCCCAAGGATGAAGAGACTAAATCTGAACCTTTCCTAAGAGATGTTTGTTTAGCTCTTTGTTCATAAAATCATTCAGTGATAGCCTGGTTATTAGAAATCCTTAGTTAAGTCTCTCTAAATGAAATTTAAGCTCATTAATTTTTGTCCTTTACCCATTCACACGTTCCTTTATAGGCCCTCTTTCTTTTTTATCTCAAAGATAATTGTGTGTTCTGTCTGTCTTGTCTCCTCTTGAAATGAAGTAATTCCATTAGCTTTAGCCTAACTGCATGGAACACTGATGGAAAAACCACTATGGTCATTAAGCTCTGCTGACACCTTTTTGTTCTTCGATAGAGATTTAACTCTCTGTTCTTTAATAGCGAGGTTCTTATAAAATGTTTTCTTTCACATCCTTTGATAGCTATGCTTCATTTTGTACCTTTGCGTTTCTGACCATGGTGCTATACTTTTTAAGCTGTTCTGTGCTCATCTTTAATGATTTGATTTAGTTTCTACTCTCTGTGTGTTGTTTTCCTGAATCCCAGTTCAGTGATTTCTTTCTAGGAAGACTGTCTCTGCAGAGTTGTAACTTGTATGTCTGGCCTTCAGTGTTGGTTCTTTAAAAAGCTCCAAGTTTTCCTGGACTCTTCTTTCCTCCAGACTTTTTTTTTCCCTGTGAGATCTAATGACTGGGTACCCTGCTGTGTGGTTCGGTTTTATCTGATTCAGTCCCATTATTGCTCTTTGAGTAAGGGGCACAACTCAATCTTTATCCACTCTGGTCAAAATCCTCTAGTGGCTGCTAATGATTTGTTACTGGAAAAAAAAAACAAACCACCAAAACCCCATATTAATTCTCAAAATAAAAATGCATTTTTCCATTTTGAATCACTATCTGCTAATCAGTTTTAATTATTGTTTGCAAAAGGCTCCATTGCTTAGTTACTTCATGTGATGTTTGAATTTCAAAGAAATCGGGTGAGTTTCATCAGAAGGCATAACTTCTCTCCCCTATCTACCTCTTGAGTGATTCGTGGTAGTTTTAAAAATATCAACTTGTAAAAATATCTCAAGACACAAATAAACTGTCTTACCTTCACAGCATCGATGGCCTGATAAAAGTGCGTACGCTGAAGAAGAGACTTGATAAATTTAATGAAGTAGTAAGTGCTCTGAAGGAGGGGAAGGCAGAGACAAGCAAGCAGGTCAAGGAGCTGGAGTATTCTATTGATGCTTCAATGACCAAAATTAAGGTATGATAATAGTCAGAGAGATAGTTTTTTATTACTGGAATCTTTTAAAAACTTAGTCCAAAGTAGAAGCCCAATGTATTTTTCTTAATAGAAAAGACGTTTTAATACAGAGGTCTTAATTTTCAGAGGCACTGGGTAAATCCTGTTTAAAATTATTTGTGAATGTGACTGAAGTGAGTCCTGAAAGCGAGTGCATATATCTAGACTTTGGTATTATTATCTGTGTTTCAAGATTGGCACTGGAGAACTTAAAGCAAAAATACATGTTGATATTGTGAGACAAGTGTTGTTAATAATTTGTTTGTTGTTTTTATTACTGGAATAATGCATATTAGCAATGTTTTAAATTAATCAGGGCTGAAACGTCCAAGCATTTATCACAGAGTGAAGAGATTCATATTCTAGTTACGAGTGTTTCTTCAGACTTGATAGTAAAGAGAATTCAGCTTGCTGATTATCCTTCAGGGTCAATAGTTCTCAGTTTCTTACCACAAAAACACGCAGACAAAATGAAAGCACACTGGGATTTATTAATGTTAGAAAAAAGTTGATGGTTTGAATTTTTGTTTCATGCAGTATTACAGCTTTTGTAATGTACCATATTAAGATTTTTCTATTTAAAATCACGGTTGAAAAGATGATAGAGTTAACCTGTCAACTTACAGTTCTCTTTTCTAATAAAAATCAGATAATTTGATTATCATCATGATACACCCTTAGAAGAGGTCAGCAAACACCCCATACCTCAGTTCTATTAGTATACATCAGTCTGAATTGTAAAATGAAAGTTAATGGTAGCTGTCAATAAAGTTGTAAAAGAAAACATATGTAGCGAAGGCTGTTGTTTTAATTATTTTCAACCTGTTATTTGCTACTAACACCTTTTTAAAAAAAGTTAGTCAGAGCATGGTCCAATACTTTTTCTGGGTGCTAGCACACGTAGTAAGAAAAACTCTTCTGTGCTATGACATAAAAAGCAGAGCTGTAAATAACCACTGTAGCAGCTAAGAACACGACACAAAATGCACGGAGGAGGCCCTTAGTTTTCATCTTGGTGTGGTAAGAATTAATTTCTGTTGCTTAAAACGGCAAGGTTTTAAAAAAAGAAGGAGTCATGTTTAATTTCAGTGATAAAATGGAGATTACTTTGTATGGTTTTATATGAGAGAGGAGAGTAATGGATCCCCAGGAGTTTAGGAAGAAAGGGAAGGATGTTCTCAAGCTCCCCTACCCTGAAGTGTACATATAATGTGATTATACTGCTCAATGCTCTCATTTCACTTAATATTTTTTCAATATACATTTTTTGAAAGTGAAGTCCAAATGTAAAAGAATATAATCCCCTCCTATTTCATTTTGCAGACCACCATAATGACTAGGGAACAGATACAGAAAGAATATGACGCTCTAGTTAGAAGCTCAGAGCAGCTTTTGAGTGCACTGCAGAAGAGGAAACAGCAAGAGGAGGAAGCAGAGAGGCTACGACGCATCCAGGAGGAAATGGAAAAAGAAAGAAAGAGACGTGAAGAGGAAGAACAACAACGAAGGAAGGAAGAAGAGGAAAGACGTCTGTGAGTCTTGAATAAGTTGCTGGTTATAGTATGAGAGGAAAATAGGAAAGGCACTTAATGAGGTCGTTTTTAATACTCTTATGCTTAAAGACTGTCACTTGGATGGTACTCCTGGTGTCCTATGCAGTGTTACAATGTTTCCTTTCCCAGTGATTTGTAAGGTAAGTGTAGTCAGAACAGAGTATGAAAGAAATGATATGATGCAACTGGAAATACAGATAGACTTGGAAAGTTTCTTGACTTTATGGTCATCAGGACTGTACTGACTTCTGGATTACCATTCAGTTTTATGGAAGATGCTTTCTTATCTGTTGTTCACTTGTATTGTAATGACATGTTTTCATTTCCTCCTCCTCTTTTGTAATAGGAAATCTGAGATTGAGGCAAAGAGAAAACAGGAAGAGGAAGAGAGGAAAAAGAGGGAAGAGGAAGAAAAGCGTATTCAGGTTAACATTTTAGCTGTGTGTGGGATTGGGGTTTTTTTTGTTGTTGTTGATGATTTGGTTTTGTGGGGGTGTTTTTTGTTTGGTTGGTTTTTTTAATCTTTTTCATATCTTAGATTCTCCTCTGAGTCTAATGGCTTCGTTTTATAAATGCATGTCTCAGAGTCATTCAACAACATTGCTTTAATAGTAAACGTAAGGCAAAAATAACAATTAGGGCATCCCAAGACAGATCATCTCTTTCTAGTTCACATGCAAGTTCAGGTTTTCTGAGTAGAGGCACATTTCTTTGTAAAGGATTTTTGAAGTTAAAAATACAGAACACTGGAGAATCCTAGTTTAGCCTTTGAAGTTGTTGCAGGTGTTCCATATCAGGCAAGTTTGGCACTCTTTTACTGGCAGTCACATCTGGACTCAGGCTGTGTCACCAGCTTAACTGTAAACACTTTCAGAACATCGGTAATAAACAGAGGATACAGGACAGTCTCTAGTAGCCCCTTTGGCTACATTCATGTAAAATAAATAGACACACTTCAAATCCTGCTCATTCACCTCACCCCCTTGATTCCTGACACTTCTCTTACTGATCCCATCATGTGTTTGGCCCCTATGCCCTTGTTTTCCTCTTGTCTTGGAGATTGACTGGGTGACCTGGGAGAGCAGTCTCCGATAGAAAAAGCTTCTCTCTAGGGGCAGTTGTAGGAAGCACCAGGCCATGGTCACTGACTTTTACAGACTCTTTTAAGCTCTGTCCATGATTAATCAGAAGCAGAATTTTTCTCCTGTATCTTGTTATCCCTGGAGTCAGTCTAGCACTGCTTATCCTCCTTGTGCCTGCATACTCTTTTCTGTCACCTCACCGTTGTTCTTGATAAACAATTCACTGGAACTAACAGAGAAATTACAACCTAACTGATGAAAAATTAGTCTTTCCTGTGTTATTTGGTCTGTCACCTATATCAGAATAATAAGCACTACCAACTTGCAGAATTTAAACATAAAATGAGTAAGCTCCTATTTCGTTAGTCTCTAAATCATTGCTTGGAGATGACTGCAGATGTGCCTAGTGTTTTGTGAGACATGCATAGGATAAGTTTCCATTCTGGGAGAGTTTAAATGGATTAAACTTTGTCCACTGAGGAAGCAAGATGGCCTGTTGCCAGAAGGTTTAAAAACTTGGTCTGCCAGCACCGTGGGGATCTCTAAGGATTGTCTTTATTTATGTTTCTTTGTTTCAGAGATGTGGATATCTGCAATGCAGAGCGTAATTTACCCTTTTACTTAGAAATGCTGCATTTGGATACAAAGCAGATAGTAATCCAGTAGGGTATTTCTTTCTTCTACATACAGTTAATTACTCATTACTACTTCTCCTGATGGTTGTTACTACCAGCTAATATAAAATGGGATTCCAGGGTAAAGTCACTATTGTTACTGCGTTGCTGTAGTGGTGCAAATTCATGATGATGAGTGGGAATTGACTTTGTCCCCTTGGTTGACTTTTGGACATCAAGAAAGGCACCGCTGAGACTTGACGTGTGTGACTTTCAGAAGTAAGAATTGCACAGTCAGGTTTTACTTTCTGTGTGTGCAAGACCCTTTGTTAAATAATGATGGTAAACTGGAATTACAGTTTTGCTTTGCAGAGGCAGAATATCTGGATTGCTTCTGCATTGCAGCAAGTTGGAATTTTACCATTTGCTTAAATGCAAAGCTGGATCAGGTCCACAGAGGATTCCAGTGTTTGTCTTGATCGCTTTTCAAAATGAACCATGGACTTATATGCAAAGCAGTGCCTATTGCAAAGTCCTATAGTGCCAAGTGCAGAATATCAAGGGAGTATTGTGTTAGTGCTATGGAGGAGTAACCAGATTGCCCTGTATCATCTGAGTTTTAATGATTCTAAAAACTTATGAAGTCTAATTTTCATAATAGCTAACAAAAAGCTTCATACGTTTTTTAAATAAGGAATAATTGACTGACACTTTAATTTGGAAATGTAATACAAGTGGTGGACAATAATGATTTGATAAACTGTATGAAAACTAAGATGCAATCTGTAGCTGTTTTGTTTTTCTTGGGTCAATAATAAATACCAGTGCTGTTACTTTCTCAGTTCTATAAGTTTTGCATGTTTTGAAAGCTATAAATATGCTACTTGACATATATTTCTAATAATTTACTTATGTAGCATTTTGGTTTTGATTGGATAAGATTAAAGGTGTGTTTTTATAAAACAGGCTGAAATTGAGGCTCAACTAGCTAGAGAACGAGAAGAGGAAACCCAGCACCAGGCAGTGCTTGAACAGGAACGTCGTGATCATGAACTTGCAATGAGAATTGCCCAGAGTGAGGCAGAACTCATCAGTGATGAGGCTCAGCTTGATTTAGGATTGCGCAGGTATGATGTTAAGCGGTTACATTTCTCTCTCTTTTTTGGTGTCCTCTTCCTATCCAGATCCCTTTGAGAAGACTACGCTCTTGTTGGGTTTATGTATTTTTTTTTTTTTTTAGTAATTAAATGGACCTTTTAAGTCAGTGTATTGAAATATTTTTCAAATTAATCTGTGAAATTTGTTAGAAATAGGTTGCTTTTGTGTAAAGACTTCATCCATTTTGCACCTTGCTACATCAGTGATTTAGTAGGTGCTTGTGAATACGCCTGCAGTTCTCTTTCTCTTTTTGAGTTCTGACAAGGATGGCAACCAATTTAAATTATGATTTTTATGACTGATTTTAAGTAGTGAATGGCATTTCTTCAGTGGTAAGTAGTAATAAAATATACCCTTTCTGGTACTTGATGGTTCCAGGAGTATAGTGTGAATTTGTGTGTGTGTTTTTTAACAAGAAGCCTTGTTTGAATGCAGAAATAGCAGTTATTTCTGTGTCCTGACTGGTGAGTTTTTTTAAGTGGAATGAATATATTTAACATAGATGGGTTTGAAAGTTAAATGTCTTAAATATTCTGTTTTGTTTTGTGTGAATTTTTTGCTTTGTCACAAGAAGTGCTTGGCTTTTGATATACAGATCCACACTGCCTGCAGAGCAAGGGCTCTTCATGTATAAAGGATGATACCTTAGAAGCAGCTTAGAAGCTCCAGTAAAAATGGTACTTACTGGTCAAATTGCATAAATGGACCTTTGAACATGATCACATCATTGGTGACTTTGTTAGTGCTGGTCTATTCTGTTGTTGAAAGAAGTGGTGTAAGAAACTCCCAAATGTTTCAATGGAATTTCAAGCTCCCAGATGTGTTCTCTTGCTACTCAAATTTTATCTAGATGCATACTTTTTTTTTTTAATAACTGCCTGCCTACATGAGATAGCTAGGTAATTTTTTGTCATGTACAATACTCATTTTTAGACACTTCCACTAGAATTATTGTGGTTTTGCCTTCAGTTATACAATAACTGTCATATTGTCTCAGATAAGACCTTAACATGCTCAGTGGGATGTCCAAGTGCTTCACAGGCAGCATTCTGGACATTTTCATACTTTCTCTGTTTGGATTTTGGTGCAATGCTTTGATGGTAAACCCAAAGTCACTCTAGTGTTGCAACTGGGCAAACTTCTCTTAACTATGAAAGAAGGGAGGCAATAGACAAGAAGGGCTCAGAGAATTCAGTAGGTTTTCTGTCAGTGAAGCTCTAATCTCTGCAGTGTTTTCCTACTGCTCATGGGTGATCCTGGTATTTGTCTTCCTTGTGTAGTCCCAGAATGGATGATGAACTAACTATCCTGATAGTTATGACTGCCAGTTTCTCTCCGCTGTATAGCTAGCAGTAGGAGAATGAAGACTTTTCTGAATGATTGGACAGTGCAGAATGGTCTGAACAAGTTAACATAGCAATGTAAATCATTTCTTGAACAAGATAATATATAAATCTAGAAAAAAGGAATAGATTTTCCTGCTTATGTAAAATTTCTTTTTATCTACATAGCAAATTTTTTTCCATATGTTTCTGCAGTCTACCTCAAAGAGTTTTAAGCATGTCCAAAAATCAAATAAAATTCTTTAATTTCACCGTTGATTTGATTTTGGTTTGGTTTGCTTAAAACCAAACTATAACGTTCCCCAGACCCCAGTATTTTCTACTGAAATCCAAGGGTAGATTTCCACATAACTGCAGGAATTGACTTAAAGGTGGAAACTGTGGGAATTCTTCTCTGAAATGAAAACTATTTATTGGTTTGAACAAAATTTGTAATTTAATAACTTAAATTCTCAGGACTTATTTTAACTTATACCAATTAAAATTTTACTAGAGTCTAAGGAAGTTATTTTCTGCCATCTTCTGGATTCGAGACTTTCATATTACCATATGAGACACTGAAATCACTGTGACTTTTATGTGTGTGTATTTCCCTTTTCTCTTAAATTTTGCTGTAGTAAGATAAAGCGTGTATCACTCTGTACTGAATTCATGCAGTATACTGGTTCTACAGTGTTTTCACACAATTTTGTAAAAAAAATTTTGTAAAAAATTCTTTCATGCTTACACATTGGCATGAATAAACGGATATTTTCCATTGTGCTGTACTACCTGTGGAGTGAAAATAGTAAGAACAAGGTGATTTTTATGTGCCACTTTGAAGGAACTCTTCTATTTTGCTCATTTTTGAGGGACATGTGATACTTGTGTGTTGTCATATTTGACAATGAGTAGCCTCTACCTTATTTCTTTTCTCCTCAATACCTTGCTGCACCCACCATTAGTTTTCATAGATATTTAAAGGTTCATAAGTACTAGTAGTTTCCTTGAAAAACTGTACTTGTCATCTCCTGTCAAAGAAGAAAAGTTGTTTGTTCTGGCAGTAGATCCAGCATTTTTATTTGTACTTATTCTGTGCCGGATATACTGGACCTCTCCTGGCTTCATCCAATTTTATTACTCATCCACAATTTGAAGGCATATGTAGTAAGGGATTTACTGCACCTAGGGGTAAATTAACAAAAGTACTTAGCCCTTAAGTAAAAGAAATAGTTAAGTAACAAATACCTGTTTTCAACTGTGCTATATTTTAATTTATGTGGCTTATTGAAACATGTAATATAGAGTATAGCATCAAAATAGTCTCAGTGAAGGTGGTGTGAGTATTTCTGTTCTGTGCGCTGCGTTGGAACAATCCAAATAAGTTCTGATTTGTAGCCTGCTCAATGCTACGTGTGCATACCTGTGGATCTTCAGTATGGCAGTTAGACTCAGTGTGTTTTCACAACTTGCATAAAGAAGCTCTCTGTCCTGTAGCCAGAGCAGCTACGTGAGGACTGCTGTTATTTCTTGTGATATGATTATCCAGGCATAAAATATATCAGTAGCATGTCTCAAAATCTTTGATTTTGAAAGATGGGGTGGGGTGGGGGTTTTGTTTTCACTTGTGCATTTTTTTCCAGATTATTTTAATTTAACTTTTAAAAAATAATTTAACACTCATGATTGAGAAAGGTGAAGAAAAAAGGTCTATACAATCTGGTTTCTCACTTTAAAAAAATAATCATCATAAGATATTAAATAAGATACGAGAGAGCAGGAAATACTCTGACCCAACTTTTCCCACTTCAGATTGTTAGAAAGGTAACTAAGTTGTCTGTCTAACATAAATATCTTCTATTTGCAGAGCCAATGGAACAAAGCTGCAAATGACTGCGTATGACATTTTTTTTTCCATTTGAATGCTCTAATAGGAAAAAAAGGCAACACTAATTAATTAATTCAAAGGAAATTAATATTGTCCTCTTATTTACTAATACTCCATAATGATCTTTATGAGTGTGCATCTATAAACTTTAAATCAGTTTGTAATACCTTATATCCGCTATTTTGCTTATGTCTAATAAACAGGTTAATAATCTAATATACCTAATAATGTCTATTTAAAAATGATTATATAATTAGTGGAAACTTTTTCACATACCATCCATTTTTCACTGCTCTGCATGATTTATTGCTCTTTACAGAATCAGGACTCTATATATATTAGAATGGAAATTATTTAAAATAAGTAGCCTTTTTTTTGTGCACTTCAATTAGCTTCAGTTTGGTTTGCAAGAGACTTTCACAGTTAAAAAGGCTGTTTTTATATTAATATGTTTGGTTTATGCTTATTTATCAATTTTCTTATAGGGAACAAATGGCCACAGAAATATCAGAAATATTGTCTAGGTAGGTGAGAAGATGACACCAAACGAATCAATCATTTTATAAAAAGAAATCACACATGAAATGTGTTGAATTATTATGGAATGAAAAAGAATGGAATCTGGTTTTTTTTTTTAAAGTACTAAACAGCTAAGTAAGTAATTTACTTAATTTGCAAATTAGTAGATTCCTTCAGGTAAATTTCCTTTATAAACACCTTTTTTCAGCAATTATTTTTCTGCTATTTTAATTGATTGTATAAAGAAAAAGAATAAGAATAGTTCACATACCCTGGAATTTTGTGTACTTTTGATGTTTCCTCTAGCTCTTTTCTCTTGTCACCTTTCTTATAATGATAATAGAAAACTAGGCTCCACATCTTTTGAAGGAGTATTTCTGCAGATTCAACACAGAGTTAATGAAGTTATTTAATGTTAATAGAACTGTTAGTGCTTTTAATAAGAAAATATTCTAGTTATAATTCCCTTCAAATAAAAGCATTTTTGAAAATTAGCATGTTAAAAGCGTATTAAAACCCCTCTTAAGACAGCTAATCAAAATCTTTTTCTGAGATTTCTTGAATGCTAATGCAAGATTTTATGCACAATGCAAGAGGAAAGGAGAATGCAGGTTCTGAATACCATTCTACTGGAACAGTCTCATACTAGTTTGTGTTAGAATACAAATTCTCTGTTGAAAGAAATTGTTACAGTGTCCTCAGTGAGTAATTAGAAAGTGTTTTGTGCAACTTGAAGAAAGAAATAGCGTTTTGACATTCATTTTCTGAAGCTTACATAAGGAGCAAAATTTTTTAGAGTTTTTAAAAGTGGATCTGTTGTTAAACAAGCTTCAATGTTGTGTATATATAGTCTGAAGGTAATCGGTCTTGCATGATTGAGGAGTTTTCCAGTTGTAGTGTTGATAATTGGGAAGGCAGCTGTTACCTAAATTTGTTTCTTGCAGTGGTATTTTAAGAATAGGAATAAACAAAAGTTGTGTGAAATTAAGTTAGCATGTGAATTTAGATGGCTAGATTGTATTGCATATATTGGCATAGATCCTGTGACAATGGCCAATTCTTAATGTGCAAAAAAAATCCCCAAACTCTGGTGCAAAATCAGAGGCTCTGTGTTTTGGTTGAATTCAAAATGCAGTAATTCTCACTGCATGCTTGTTTAACTAATTTTTTTTCACTTTTCATATACTGGAAACTTTTGACTTGGGACTGATTGGGTTTTTTTAAGTCTGAAGATACTGTTTATGATACATAACTTTATCAGATTGAGCAGTGAAGACTCATTGTCAAGTGTGATGCTCTTCTTGCTGCTGGACTGTTATGCTTGAAGTCATGTAGAAAACAAAAGAGTGATTTGCAGAGTAGTACTGTAATGGAAGGACTAAGCCATTCAATTGGATTAGCATTCTTAAAGATTACTAGTTGAACCAAAGATCTTACAGCCTAGTTCGGCTGCTCTAAATTATGTAGCAAACTCTTAGAGTGGAGGGTAGTGTTGCTAAATAAGGAAAATCCTTAGGATTTGTCAAATTAGGTTCAAGAAGGTTAGACACCAGGTGGCGGAAATTACATTTAGCGGCAATCGTTTAATGTCCTACAGGTATGCCAATGATAACAAAATATTAAAATATATATTTTGAGGGAGACTGTGCAATGATTTGTTTTACACTTATGAGTAGTGCTAAGGATGAGGAAAAGTGCCTGTCCCTCAGCTATGTATTGAATAAAAGTCAAAGAGGTAATTTTTTATGTCAGACTTCTCACATACTGTAACTGGAAGCTGTGTGTTGACTCAGATTAGTAGTATGAGTAGGCATAATTAAGCTGATGCTGCAATAAAGAGTTAGATTCTGTAGTTTTAATTACATTTGAAGAGATGGTTCAGTTGCTGTTAAGAGGAACATTTGGTTAAACAGATTGTTTTATTCTTTGAAGCTTATATTGCATTTGTTATCTCTGCCTCCAAAGCTGCTATATCTATATAGAGAAATTTTTCACAGAAAATGTATTTATAACCCAAAAAGGAAAAATAAACAACATCAAGCTTCATAGTACCACAGGAGACCTTTATGCAAAAAGAAACTTTAAAATAATATTCACTGGATTATAAATATTGTAATAATGTAAGAGTCCTACAAATATATTGCTGCACAAACAGACTTTAAATGAAAAGGCCTGATTTCTTCTGTTTTTCTGTCTTGCGAATTTTTAATGTGATGTATTCCATCAAGTATTCTGCTGCCCTGTTAAAGATCTAGTTTCTTCTGAACAAATCCTCTCAGATCCTGAAAGATAATTCAGTTTGCCTCATGTTCTTAGTCATGGGCATTAGCGGAGGTTGGTAAAATCATGTAGTCTGTTCTTGAATTCCTTGGCGTTAAAAAAGTATTGTGATTGATCGTCACTGAATGTTGGAGTGTTTTGAACTGAGTTTATATCCAAATAATGAATGGGAAGTTTCTTGTTCCTAAGGGAGAGTTCTTCCACTTGTTGTCCATACTGTTTTTAAGGGGAAAAAAAAATATTTTTTTTTCAGGTTTATCTTTATATGTATACATGTAATGTTTGTTTGTTACATGACTAACCTTATACATACTGTTAAAACTGATGGAGATTTTACTAATAATTTCTCACTTGCATTTGCTGTTGACTTTATTGCCTATTACCTACATGATGAATACCTTCTGCCTTTGAAAAACACTGTTTCTGGATGAGTCTTTTTATACCGGTCAGCCTTTCTTCTGAGAGTGGACATTTTTCCCTTGGTATCTCTCGATGATTCCCACCACCGCCCCTGCCCAGTTTTAAACAGAAAACACCTTTTCTTCCTTCTCCTTGTCTACTTGAGAAATATTTTTCCTTGTCTGTTTTTCAAATGGAACTAAAAATGTATATGACCACTCCTTGTTGTCTGTATTCTGCATCTTGACTAGTGCTAAGAAAAATGTGCACTAGTGTGGGGTGAGATACAGATAAATAGAATATGCGTCTTTTCACACGTAAGTGCTAACTACTAATGACAATTCATTTTAATCTCGAGACAATAAACCAAATTGTTGTATGATTTTGGACATAAAAGATACTTTTACTTTCTCTTAATTGTTTGAACATCTTGAAAATAATATGGTACTTCGCCTTTGAATTCAGACCCTGTGCTGCGCATTTTCATTTTAATAAGCGTGCTGCAGTGTTGATTCTGGGATCTGTTCCTCTTGTTGTAATAATTCCTGTTTCATACTTGAAAAAATACGTATCTTTTTTTTAAATAATTGTAGGAGTCCTGCAGTTCAAGCCACAAAAGCTGCTGCTGGTACTAAGAAGCATGATCTCAGTAAGTGGAAATATGCAGAGCTTCGCGATACAATCAATACATCCTGCGGTAAGTTGGTTTTTTTCCTGATTCGAGAAAGAAGTCAAATTGTAGTTTTATGAAAGGTGTTACTTTCTTCCTATGACAAACATAAAGACTTGCTTATGAATTTATTCAGGTTTGAATGAATGTCCAATTAATTGTAAAAAAATCTATTATCTGAAGAGAACAGCAAACTAAACTATTTCCATATTGAGGAAACAGAATTTCCTTTGTTACCTCCTTTACTGATTATATATTTATATATTAACCTACTTGGGCCATAAAATACATGTTATAATTTCTTAATTAAAATGTCTCAGTTTTATGTATTTCCGTAAAGGGAATAATAGTTATTATGCTTTACCTAGAATTTGTGTGTTTGAAGAAATTTTTTGCTATCAGTTCTTGTCTTGGTGTCACCAAATCACAAAAAAGCAAATACATCATGTAAAGCACAGTGTAAAATATTTTCTGTCTTAGGTGTTCAGATTATTCTTTAATTTTCAGAATGTGTAACTTCATTTGGGAAGCTCACAGTTGGGACATTAATTACTTTTCCCTCAGTGTTATGAAGATAGATAAGAATTATTCCTTTATTAAATATTACTGTTTCTTCCTTCTGATTGAAAGCAGTTGGTTGATTTCTGATTTAAGATAACTCAGAATTTCTCCCTGCATGTAGAAATTGGAACCAAACCCTGTTCTCTCTATTTGTATTTAAAACCCAACATTAGCTCCAAATTCTAACTGTGTCTCTATTGTTTTTACATATGCAAGAGTGGAGCAATGTTTTTGGCTGAATAGGTGTTGCAGTAATACATGGTGCTAATGTGTGTTCATCCCTGGTGAAGCCGGTTTGGACACTCTTTGGTGACTAATGAAAAAGCCTTGCAATCATTCAGTCTCTTAGTGTCTTGAAATTCAGCAAAATTAAAGTGTATTTAATAAAGTGAAGAAAGAACCTAGATCTGAGCAGTCAAATTGCTGATTTTCTTTGTTTCAGTTGCAGAAAGAAAGTTCAGCAGTGAAATTTTATCTGTTTCTGTACTGCTTGGTTTTGTGGTAATGTCATCAGGCAAATTTAGTGAAGTGAAAATTTTATTTGTAGCATTTCACTGCTTCAAATCTCACAGTAGAACAGCTACTTTGGGGGATGCCATTACTCTAACAGAGGAAAGGATATATGGCACTCCAAGGGACTTTCTGGGCCATAAAATACAGGCCCTGTTGCTGCAGAGAATAAGGGTTTATTATATTAT